CGGTCGCCGGCGGTAGGCGCGGTGGCGGTGCTGCCCTTGGCAGCAGGGCGGCGTGGTGGCGTGCGGTGGCCGGCGGCGTGTCCTCGGCCCAGATCTGGGCCCTCCCGGCTCCATCTGGGTCCTAGCGGGCCGGTCCCTGGTGTGGCTTCGTCGTCGTCTGTGTGGTGAGGAGGAGCGGCTCGGATGGGGGGCGGCGATGCCGATGGCGTGCCTGCTGCAGCGCGATGGCGGGAGCTTTTCGGGAATGGAGTTCCCGGCAGGGCCTATAGGCACACGGGCCTGGTAGGCTCCTGCTAGTGTGTCCGGTCGGCTACTGTCGTTGATGGTGGAGGTTGTGCCCTTGCGCGTGCCAACGGTGCTGCAGCCCCTAGTCCCGGCTCCTATCCCTTGTTGTGCAGACCTCATCTCGTGGTACCGTGGTGAGACGGCATGGAGGCTTCTTGACCATGGTGGCGCAAGATGGTGGTCAGTTTGGTGGCAGGCTCTGGAGCACCCGAGGTGAAGGTTGGGATCGGGGGAAACCCCTGTCGGCCTGTCCGACACCGACGCGGCGACGCTGATGGGTGCCGCCGGACCTTCCTGGAGGGTGTCGGGGGCGACCCTTCCTCTCGCCTAGTCGTGTATCGGGGGAAACCCTTGGCAGCAGCGTCGTCTTCGTCGCGGTCCTTCTTGAAGGTGTTGATTGGTACCGGTGCTTCGGAGCCTTGGAGCTTCGTGGGAGATCTTCGGTGGGCGCAGTGGTCGTGAAGCTTCTTCGTTTTCGTCGATCCGTCGTTGTCGGCATTCTTTTCTCTTGTTGTTTCTCTTTCGTTTCTTTTAGTGTGATTGTGCTGCTTTCGCCCCAGCACCTATCCTTTGATGTATCGGTTGGTTGCTTTGGAATACAAAGCGGGGGAAAACCCTTTTTCTTGCAACGGCGGCCCCCTTGACCATCCACCGACACGAGGAAAACCCAGCAGCGCCGCAACAAAACAAGGGCATCAGGGGAGCAAAGGAGTAGGCATCGTGCGAACGAAAGAAGACAAGGCAGCCACGTCAAGGGGATGCTGCAATTGCAACGGCTCAGACAGCTTCGACTGCTCAGCATCATCGTCGGACGGCGCATACTCTTGTCTGTGGCAACTACATCAATAAAACCAGCTGACATAGACCCTGAAAAAAATAACAGCTCACATTGACGCTCTATATTAGCCAAAATCCTGGGGAGTCCAAACGTGAACTGCGACAGTTCGAAAAACTGAAGGACCAGAAGTGAACTTGGGGCAAAATTCAGGGTCCAAAAGTGGACTTTGTTCATCCAATAATGATCTAAGCTGCATCCACAACGTGTGTTATACTAAGAGATCTTTTTAGTTGATTTATATCTTGAAATTCAATCCTTGGTAAATATACCTCGCGTGACTCTGAACGGGTATGGCACACCACAGGCGTAATAGGAGAAACAGCCAACCAAAAATGCACGCGAGGACAAATCAAGAGCGTATCAGACTCATAATCCCATTATCACAAGTTGCCATGTAACCCTAACAAATCAACAAAAAGCGCACTAAAATAAGCTGCGCCCTTACTTGATTATGCAAGCACTTGTCTCTTGTCGACACAACAAACTAAAACACAGCAAAGGGCAGAAGAACAGTAAAATTAAGCTACAACAGGAACCTTCCAAGTGTTCAGCTTTGCTCTTCCTCAGCGCCCGCTGCCTCCCTCTCCTCTGCAGCGGCAGCCATCAGTTCATCGAATTTCTCCGTCTTGCCAATCAATATTTCGATCTGCCCAGTACAGGTTATGAGAGTAAGGAAAAACAGTCATGTGGATAAATCTTGGTAAGTACTGTCCGTCTGTCATCCGAAGAACACTAACCTTGACCTTCTGGATAGGGCGGTTCCTTGTATCATCTTTGACATCAACAGTAGATGTCATTATTTCTGCAAGTAATTTCGACCAAGTTAAGAGACTGAAAAGAAGACATAATCGAGCAGAATAATGAGAAACAAGACTCACTCTTCTCAACAGCAAGGCCGTTATTTTTTAGAATTTCCGCAACAGTCACCACAGTTGCAATAGCTGAAAGGACAAAGTTAAAAATAGTTTCATCACGACAAAAAAAGGAATGTAGATAAATAACAGAGGTCCGACAGTAACAAAGGGTCATGCTGACCAACAAAGAAAATAAACCAAGCATCCATACACAAGTGTTGAAGCATTATTATCATGAGTATATGACACATCCATGTAAATTTAACCTTACAAATAGTCTAACCAAAATTAATATCATATTAAGGTGCCTAAAACCACTGTAACCCAAGGCTTAAATAGCAACACACAGGTGCAAAAGCTGGCTACTAGACTTCAGCTACAACTGACAGCAGAACGCTATGATGCAGAAAATAACTTTTGGACAACAATGTCATCAGCAGTTTCTGATTTAATATGAGTATTACATGTCCAGAGCTAGATGACTGTTGGCTGGACATATTATTACATCAGCACAAACTTGCGCATACAAGCAATATTAATTTGATTATCAACGAGCAATGAAAACTGTTTTTAGTACTCTGTAACCCAGTGGATGAAGGCTCAGCTCACTCTGTTTTTAGTACTCCCTCCACCTCCATTTACATGAGGTCATCATTTCTCATGATCAAAATTTGACCATCATTTTGACAAATAATATGTTTGTCGTCTGTCACAAAAATTACACCGCTTGAAATTTTTAATACGAATGGAATGGTATAAATTTAATGACACATAGCCCAAGTTTTGTTAGTCAAACCAAAGGTCAAAGTTGAACCTAGAAATACATGAGCGACATGTAAATAGAGACAGAGGGAGTATCAATTGTCAGTTCTTTGCATGGTACTCCCTCCGTTCCGAATTACTTGTCGCAGGTATGAATGTATCTAGATGTATTTTAGTTCTAGATACATCCATTTCTGCGACGAGTAATTTAGAACGGAGGGAGTAGTACTTTATTCTTGAGACTGGTCTTTTGAGAACTTCCCAGAATAGTATAATTTACTTTTCCACAGCCTTTATGAACAGAATAGGCAAGTGTAATTCTTCCCACAACCAGGTGAGAGATCCAACTTCAAATTCTTATTAGTAAAAGTAACATAAAGTGCGGTATAAAGCTAAAGGGCTCAGACTGAGATGAAGGAAGAACATAAATTGTAGGCAAGCAAGAACTATGTGACATGAATGTAGACTTTTCCCCCCATTAAATGAGCTGCAACAACCTCAGTTAGCAGGAGTAATAAAATGCCACTCATGGACAAGCAGAAAGATACCCATCACAGTATACCAGGTCATCAAACATTTATATGCGCCTATGCATACGGCAAATCATTGCCAAAGTAACATAACAGAGGCCTAAACTGATACAAAAATACGCTTCGGCGAGTGAAGATTTACCCATGCCGAGGGCCGAGAGCTCCACCTCTTCGTGCAGCTGCATGTACCTCTGCACACAAACAGCGTCACAAACCAAATTAGTCTTGTTGATTTCATGGTAAATGTTAGCAGGACGCCCAAATCCAATCAAATCACTCGCAAAGATATCTCCTCGGCGGACCCCTCCTACGCAAAGAGGACAACCCTCTCTAGAGTTTAACCCCACAACAGATGTGCCCCTAAAACCCGGAAGAAATCCCCAACCAACGGCACGCTTCTCTCATCCACTCGTCCACAGGACTTGTTTCCCTACCTTGGCGAGGTTGACGTAGAAGAAGAGGGGCTTCTTGGTGTTGGAGACCTGGATGCGGTTCTTCTTGTGCCCCTCCGCTCCCGCCGTCGCCGCTGCTCCTTCCCCTATGGTAAGGTTGTTCACCGCCTCCGTCACCTCCTCCATGGCTGCCACCGAGGCCGCGCGAGAACAGCAACACTGGCTAGCTACGGGGACTTGAGGGGAGCACGAGTAGAGAGATTTCGGCGGCGACGGAGAGGGGAAGCCCTATCTCAGCTTCGGGGTTTTATACGGGGTAGGGTTACGGGGTTTGGGGCTGTTCCGTTTTTTCCCTCTTCCAGTCGGAGTCTGGCCCTAGCAAACCTTCGGTGAACAAGGGCTCAAATAGACCGTGTTCAGCTAGATTTTCCCCAGTTTTGTGTCGGACGCGATTCTGAAGTTTCCCATCTTAACATTGCATTTTGTGTTGCATTTGTTATTATTATTTTTGAAATGGCCTAAGGTCATATATACTATCACACGCAAACTTCATCATGTGCCGGGCTGGGTCGGGTTTCAGACCGGGTTTGTGAAACTAGAAGACTAAACCTGTCCCCAAGACCAAAGATAGCTATTTTTTTATGTCTGAGCCCTGCTTGAAAAGCAGCTTGAAGCCTGAAATCCTGATCTAACACTATTTTTTAGGCTACGCATTTGCAAGCCTGGCCGAAAATCAAAAAAAAACTCAAGCCCGGCTCGAATCCTCTTTCGTGTTGTAAAATGAAGCCCGGGCCCCCCGAGAGGCAAGTCCAAGTCGGGCTGCCCATGATCAAGTTTAATCACAAGTCCTTACAAACACACTTATGTAGAAAAATAAAATTGCATTCAAAGCCTTGGAGAACATGTAGTTGTGAGTGGAGGGCATCTTATATTAGAATCAGTGGAAATGTAGTTGTTGATCAACAATAGTCAGTTTTTTCGATTCTGTCTTTGCAAAACGGACTGTAGAAACTTTAAGGCCACATATGTTCGGAATGGATGTTTTCTGAATAGGTACATATTTTTTACTATCCTTTTTGTCTTGTATAATAAATGTCACACAATTTTTTATCCATTGTGTGATTATATTACTTACTAATCTAAACATGTTGCATCGGAGTACCCGATACTCCATATTGTATATCTTAGTGTCACTAGATCTAGCAAATCCAATGGGCTGGGCGTACTTTATTTATTTTTGGGTATCTCCAAAGCACTAAGGATACTGACCTATTCTTGTAAATTCACAAATTTTGGACATCAATACTAGAGCTCGGGCACATCAACTCAATGGATCATGTTTCTAGGGACTATTTCTATTGTTCATGAGATTATGATGTTGCATAAATCAAATGTGTTTGTATTACTTAGATATGAAGGACCTCATGAATGGCGGAGTGTTGGAGCATAACCAAATATGAAGATGGAGGCAAACGCACAAGGAAAGGAATGAACATGAAAATTCAAGCACAAATATCAGGACTTTGGAGACAGCATATGCATAAATATGTATAGGTGTTGCAGCACTTTATCTTCGGGCTAGTCCTATATATTTTAAAATGTCACTCCAGGCAACTTTTAGAGTCCATAACCATTGAGAAAACCAAATATGGTTGGATTTGACCCTTATCATTGGGTTGACTGAACCACTAGCCCTTTCCTTCTTAAATACACCCTAGGCACCGTTTGTATTAGGGTTAGTTAAGAATTAACTATTGCTACAACTTTGTGAACTTTGTTTGTGTTCAATAACCAGGCCAAGACCACTATCGGAACCATAAGTTTTTATCTATATACATAATATCTAGATTTCATATTATAGTTCTTGCTTTTTACTACCTCTGTTTTAAAATATAAAATGTTTTGGTAGTTTAAATTGAACTGTTAAAATGTCTTATATTTAGGAACGTGGGGTGCATTTAATTGCTTGCATGGATAAACCTTCTTGGTCTGGTTGATAATGCCCCGACATGATCAATAACCTCTCCGGAGTTGGCTTATAGACTACTAAGGTGTGTCGTCCTCGCATATGTTGTATCGAACCGTAGTTGACTCCACCCAAATTGCTTAAATATGTGTCCTACTAAAAGATTAGGACACCATGGTGCTATCATGTTTCATTAAATCATCATCCATATTACTCTCTCTATTCCAGAATATAAGGTGTATTGATTTTCCAGTTAGTCAAACTCATGTATATTTGACCAAGATTATAGAATAAACTATCGACGTGTACAATACAAAATAAATAAAATATAAAAGTATTTTGTGATGGATTTAATGATACATATTTGGTACTGTATGTATTGATTTTTTTTAAATGGTCAAACATGCACATGTTTGACTTTTGAAAATACCAATACACCTTATATTTTGGAACGGAGGGAGTATCTACCAATACAATGTGCTATGTTGCACATAAATAGACAAGTTATATAAAGAGAAATATCACTAAGTAAATTGCCCCTAAATGTGCTAAGTATATTGCCCCTAAATCATTTTATCCCTTTGAGTTACACTAAAGTAGAGAAATAAACACTTCTGCAAGCCAAGTCTTGCGATAAGCTCACCGACTTGTTCACAAAGTCCTTACCAATTTCAAAAAGTAAAGATATGTTCATTGAAAATATGCGATGACTTCGATATTTGCAAAGGTTAGAGTGTCTCTTCGTGAATGGTAACCTATTCAAACATCCTATTTTATACTCTTTTACCTTTTTGAGTTTGTTTTCAAGGTTCCCATGAGAAATTTTTTGTACAGTAGTATCAACACAAGATTATATGTTATACCTCATATTTTCCCCACTCATGGGTTTAAAGGAAATATACAGAACACATTTATTATTCTTAAACTCACTTTTTTTTATTTAAGTTTTTTCTCATGTGAATTACCAAAGGAGACAATAATCATTGTATGTTATATCATTTTCCCTTTGGGCTTAAAGAAGTTTTAACATGTTAAATATAACCCAACTCATATTATCCCAAAAGTTTTTTACAATAACTTTTTCAAGATGAAACATATATATGAGGAGCAGCAACATATAAGGAGTGGTATTATTAATGGAGCTGCCAGGCACTTGCTACTCCATCCATACCATAGAATATGTTTTGGACAAGTCTTCGGTGACTAGAAATATCATTTTAATTATCTGGATTGAAACTTTCAAAGTCGCATATGTATATTTATCTTCTCCTTTTTTGCTAGAATATTGTAATTTCTTGGGTTTTACACATTTTAATACCAAATAATAGTCAAATTTTTATACCATGAAGAACATGAGAATGCCAAAGATGCCACTTATTTGTGATATGGAGGATAATTAACAACTACCACCTATAAACACCCGACATTATTCATTAAAAAGTGAGCGCAATTTTTTATCCATATCATATCACCTCGGCAAATGGCAACAATTTACCTGATCACGGCCACCTATCAAGATCTTGGAAAACAAAACAAAATAAAATCATTTTCTCGATGATATTAAAGTACGGTTGAAGAATTGAGGGAAAAATAATGCCTCCTTGCCTACTAGGGCTGTTTATTATGCTGTCAAAAATACTAGGGTTGTTTACTAGGAACTAGATCATCGATGGCGCGCGTTGTCGCGCCTGTCCATTATGGCGATGGAATGCTAGGAATTTAGTGAATATATCAAAGCATAAAAATAAACGTAAATATATGTTTTTATCAAAAGTAACCATAATTCTAAAGTATATAAGGCTCTATAAAATGGTATTTTAACCAATCATGGTAAGAATATATGGCCTCTTCATTTGTAAAATAATAATTACATAGCATCCCAAAGATACGAATTAATGGTTCTTTCATAACCTCCACACTTGCACTCAAAGATTTTTTTTCTGGACTTCCTGATGGTTTTGTAAGCTGGTATCTTAACCACACACATCAGAAAAACCAAACCAAAAGATGAGAAGCATGGTTGAGTGAGAAACATCTGTAAGCAAGAACAAGTGCAAAGAATATTGTCACTAAAGAAGTATGAAGCTTCAGATGAAATGCATTAGAAAGTACATGTTAATATAAGGTATATATATAGAAATTTAGTGTACAAATAAACATAATGTAGGAAATATCGAAATGATTATGATTTATCGGTCATACTTACATGAGAGCAGGCACTATAGCTGGTCTCTTCCTCCTAGACTACATCGTTGTTGATGCCATCCTTCACATGAGGAATGCAGATGAGCTGAAGGCATGCATAGAGAAGTATTACTGCCTAAAAGGTTTTTCATTTAGCACACCATTGAGCATGTAGGTAAATAATCAAGTAAATTATCCCTTTTCACGAGTAGTTAGATAGTCAAACAGATTCATTTTCTGCACAACACATTTTCAGAAAATAGCGATGTTGTATAGAGTTGAGCAAACAAAGGGAATTAATGGAAATGCAAGAAAGAAGATTATTTAATAAGTGAACATGTAAGGATAGTCTTTACGAATCTCAGCATAAGCTTTAATGAAGTCCCACTCAAACTCATATGCTCCGTGTGTTTTTGAAGCAAACGGTGCAGCGTGCCACTGGCTAATCAACTCAAATGTTAAGTAAATCTAACAAATCATGTCAATCACTACAATACATTGTGATATGAGGATTTCATCTGTGAAGATACATTGGCTTTTATGCCTGCCTCAATTTATTGAAGTGATATGCTAGTAGGCAGTCCCAAAACTTATTTGTCTTTGAACTTAATTCATTACTGGAACAACGTGTGAAATGAAGCAAAGCAAGATTAGAACATTCAGTGTGGAAGATTGAAGATCAGGCAGGGTAATGGTACCTAATTTCGAACACATTTATTTCTTCACGGAGATCATGCGGCAAAGTTTCATTCATAGTAATCTGCTCGGCATCATCGAGTTTTTACCATCACCTCACGCCATCACGATAAGAGGGTGGTAGAACCAGGGGTCCTACCGGACCTACTCCGGAGGTTGTAGGGGAAGGATGGAGTGGGATGGGGCGATGATCGGGCGCGCCGGCGGCTGGGCACGCTGGCGGCGGAGGGAGATGGCGACGGCAGCTAGGGTTAGAGGCGGCTAGGGTTCCGGCTCCTCTGGGAGCCGGGCAATAGGGATAATAATATTCTTATTTCTTAATTCCAAAAAGAGTCTTACA